AGAAAGAAGCGATCTGGGGGCTATTTAGGTAGGATGGAGGTATGGGAAATTTGGTTAGGGTCTATTTCGGAAATTTAGAAAGTTTTAGTAAAATAAATCTAGACCGTTAAATAGATTTAAGTATTAAGATTTTTTATCAAATTAATTTTTATCAGTCCCTTTAAATTACGAAATTGAAAATTTCATGTCAAAACTCATCTGAAATATTCCAAACTTCCTGTGGTTACAAGAGTAATGTTCACATATGGAAGGAATAACTCAAAAATCAAAGACTCGTTTTATGCAAATACAATACCAATATTCTACAAAATCAAGGGATTTTCTCAAAGTTATAATTGTCATAAAGTAGTGACCAAGTGATACATATATTGTCATTTAACCTAAAGCTGATTGAAAGTTTAAAAAAATTGGCAGTTGAAAAAATATAACCCAAAAGGGGAAATTATGGAGCAATTGAAAATGTACCAATTTGGAAATCAAGGAAATGGGACGAAGCCTGTAACGATCTGAAGCCTCGTGCCTAAGTTGTTATGTCATACGTATTATTCCCTTTAGGAGAGCGTTTGCCCTCTTAATCCCTCAAGAATTTTTATCTCATCCCGTAGGATTGGCACAAGAATTTAACTTAAATCTCTTATAAGGTAGAGACCTTAAATTCAAATCCTACAAGACGAATAGAAAGTCATGTAAAATTATTAAAGGTTTATTTATGGCAATTATTTCCTAATATAACTTGGTAATATTCTATATATCAAAAGGATTGTCGCAAAATTGGCATGGTATCGTGGCCATAAACTTACTCATGTTGGATATTGGTTAAATAAATCGAGAATTGAAAAATCGATTAAAGTTCGTATCGACTTCGGCCAAATACTCAAAAGCTCGACTCAATCCGTTTAAGCAAAATTGTTTGCCACTTCGCCGCTTCGGGGCGCACAAACGGGCAGCGCCCCTTGTGGGGGGTCGGGGGCAACGCCCCTGAAAGAGAATTTTGATTTCTCTGCATGTATTGAAGGGTATATTTGGCATTTCGAAAACCAATATCGAATGAATGAGAAATTACGGAAAAGGACGAAAATCAGTGAATAGACACCTTTTCATAAAGGTGCATTGTTTGAAAAGGGTGCATGGTTTGGCTTCAACCATTTCGTCCACACCCTTTCATGGTCTATAAATAGGACCCTTTGGGTGTCCTATTCCACACAATTTGATATGCAAAACATATCTCATCCCTCTTCTATCCAAAATCAAAATCATCTCGTTTATTTTAATTTTCCTTCATTTCTTCTTGGAGTACATAAACCTAAATTTTGGTTCGTTGTACTTGTGTTTTGGAGTGCTACAAACACAAGTGTAGCCGTTGTATCTTGGGAGTCGATTGCCGAAATCCGTAGGCACCGTTGCGGGGCAAATTCGACTTAAGGACAAAGAGTCCAACTCTTGCCTCGGCTTTGTCACCATCATTATACTTATTTCGACGTCACTATTCACAAAATTCATCCAACAACTCATGCATGTGATTTGCGATGATTGGTCTCTGTTCATAGTAATTGACGGTCTGTGTTCGTGTCCATGCGTCATCTGGTAGGCTACACTCAGCTCTCCTGTTCCTAGTAATCGGTGGTAGATGCTCGCAGCTCAGGTATTGTTCCCAGTCGGATCTCTGTTTGGTCTAGTAGGCGTCCACTGTGTGATTATTTTTTTTATTTTTTATTTATTTTTATTTTTTTTTGTTAAGTTTTCTGGGCTTCTCAGATTCTGCAGCGCCTCTGTGTGTTCTTCGAATTTTCGGTCGGTGAGCCTAGATTTTGGTTTCGGTCGAAGCATTTTCCTCTTCCTGTCCTTCGAATCTTGGTCGGAGCAAATCAGGAATCTCTATTAGTAGATTCAACAACTTAATGGTTTCTTTTGGGACAGTGGTTTGGCCTTTACTTTTTCTTTGGGCTGGGAGTTGTTTCATTTAGAATTATGATTGTTGGGCTTTTTTTTGGATATCAGTTGGATTGGGCTTCTAGAGGCTACTGTTTTTAGTAAAAAAATTTATGTTGAAATTACCCACAGCTTATTTTAAAAATTCATAATTTTAAAATCAGATTGGATGTTTCATTGTACAAAAATCAGATGTTTTATTAATTAATATATATATATATATATATATATATAATAATTAATATACCTTATTTCATTCCAAACCCAACTCAATTTCAATCTAAACCTAATCACTTTCCCCCCCCCCTCTCTCTCTCTCTCGTCTCTCGTTCTCCGACGACTCCTCCACTATCAAGCAGGGGTTGTCCTTCTACCCATTTTTCTTCCTCATCGGCAAGTGGTGATGCGGCGGCGAATCCATTGAGTTGAATAGCCGCTGTGAAGGCAAACCCGTCGTCATTTGTCGTTGAAACGATGCTGAATTCTCCTCCACTTTGCATAGCAACAAGCTCAGAGTGTCGCACATAGTGGCGACGCTCTAGTAGTCGGTGCGTGTTGTTCTGTATACGGCGATCTCTATAGGGTGATGGGTTGGTGGTTTGTGGTTTGTGGTGGTGGTCTTATGATGGATTTGGGGTTTTATATTGTTTTTGTGGTGGTTTTATGTTGGTTTTGTGGTGATTTTGTGGTAACTTTTTAGATTGTTTTGCGGTGGTGGTCGCGTGGTGTGCAAATCTCTATTCAGTATGGTGGTGTTGGCATTAGGAATCGTGGTGGCGGTGGCACAGGTGGTAGATGGCGGTAGCAATGATTTTTATGGTTTTGGATATGTGGTTTTGGTTCTACCATAGTTTTGGCTGATTTTTGTTTGTTGGTGGTTTTTTCCATGGTATGATAATGTTGGGATAGGTTTATTGACAGTGGTGGTGGAGGATTGGGCACTGTTCATGGTGGATCTAGAGTTGGTAGAGACTAATTTGGTAGTGCATCTGGCGGTGGTGGTGATGGTCGTGGCGACGACGATAGTGGTTGTGGTTGATGGAATGTGATCAACAAATAATTTGTGACCTATAAAATTTATGATTCGTGATCGAAAAATAATATGTAACCTATAAAATTTTTGATTTGCGATCGAGAAATAAGTTTTGACCAATAATTTGATAAGTTGTAACTAAAAATTAATCAGTGACTAATTAATTTTTTGATTTGTGAACGATGAACAAAAATGTGACCTGCAAAATTTTTGGATTGTGAGCGTAAAATAATTTATGACATAAAATTTCTGATTTGTGACCAAAAAATAATAAGTGACTATTAAATTATTAATTTGAAATCAAATTGTATAAAACTGTGACCTAAATATATTTAATTAATAAAATAATTCATTAAATCGTAAATAATTTTATTAAAAATCTAATTTTTGAAGTTTGAAACTTGTTCTCTTAATTTCGAAATGTGTGATACTTAAACTCTTATTTATAAAATTTTCTCAAAATTTATTGGGATATGACTTTGGGCTATTAGGTTAATTTGTTTTGATTGGCAGAATTTATTTGGATTCTGAGTAATTTTTTGGGTAGACTATGCACGATCTCATCAAGTCAACTGAGAAGATTGACCCCTCTTGTATTCGTTTCATGGAAAAGAACTACTCTTCATAAGCATCTCACTTTCAATTATTAGTTGAAGAGAAAGGAGATCTACGGGGACATATTGATGGAAGTCTTCACCTCCGGATCAAGAGAAGGACAAGAAGAAGTACCTTGCCTAGAAAACCAAAGATTCTCTTACTATAGCATGGATCATTGAATTTGTTGATGCTCAGATTATTTTTTAATCTCAAACCTTATAAGTTTGATGTGCTATGTAAGAGTCCTTAAAGAAATCTACACTCAAAAGCAATAACGCTCGGACTTTAATTGTGTTAGGAATATATGTAATTGGCAAATCTGTGACCAAGGACCAAAATGTCAAAATTGTAAAGTCAAGGATCAAATTGTCAAAATTGTAAGGTCAAGGACCAAATTGTCAACGTCCAATAGTTCAGGGACTAGAGTTGTAATTAACCAAAGCTTGTAGGCTTGGTCTAGGGTTGTGTGGGATGCCTCGGAGATGCAAATGGCGCGGTGATTTCGCTAGAGTCACGCCATGACCTCGCTCGAGCCACATTTGCAGAAACAACTTCGCTGGACAGACGCTGGACCGTTGCTCGAGCGGAAGACACGTCGCTCGAGGCTCGCTAAGACCTCGCTCGAGCGACCATATTATCTAGCCAAACCTAATTTTAAACGCTCGCGAATATTTGACGCTCCACATTACCATGTGTCGACCTCTATAAATACCAAACGTCCAATTCGTGTTCATTAACCCGAATATACACATTGAAATCACTTTGATTATTTTCTTTCAAATCCTTGGCAACCTAAAATTAAAATCCTTCTTCTCCAAGGATCACAAGCCAAAAACCTTTCATAGTGTTCATCCAAATCCATGGCTTATTGAGTAAAAACATCGAATACACAAACACCAAAACACATGTTTCTAAACTCCAATTAAACTTCCAGAAGATCATCAGTTTGAAGATCCGGGAAGGACTTGCTTGAAGAGCTGGAGTGCGTGGCGATTCACGGGAGGTAGAAATTGTACAAGGCTGGGATTTAGCACGGAGCTGCAAATCCAGGAGGGTCTTGATTTCATACAGCAAGGAGGTCAGAAAAATTGAGAGGGTCAATTGAGTCTGGCGTGCTATAAGTTGGTTTCTACATAGTGGATCTCTACTGGCTTGTGCCCGGAGTTTTTCCCATATTGGGTTTCTCCGTCAACATGTTTGGTGTGTTTTTACCGCTTTAATTTATTTACTTGTCAACGGTAATTCAACATAAGTAGATAAAGCATGTGAATTAATCTAGACTAATTATAATTTGTGTGACTTGTTGCATGAATTGTTGAAAAAGTTTTTAATTCCGCAAGAACACCTATTCACCCCTCCTCTAGGTGTTAGTTGGGTCGAACGATAGGTTTTTCAAGTGGTATCAGAGCCTAATCTCGAATCCTGGCCCATAGTTGTCTAGATGAGTCAATCACTGTCTGTACCTTCGTTTTTCGACGGAAGTAATTATGCATATTGGAAGGTTAGGATGCGTGCATTCCTTAAGTCCTTAGATGAGCATGTTTGGATTAGTGTTCAAAATGGATGGAAACCTCCCTCTATTATCGTATCAGGAAACATTCACCTTACTGACATATCTGTGTGGACTAAAGATGAATTAGCTGCTTGTAATTGGAATAGTAAGGGAATTCATGTATTATTCATGGCTCTATCTCCAGAAGAGTTTAGGAGAGTCTCTATGTGCGAAACTGCTAAAGAGGTTTGGGACATTCTCGAAACTACACATGAGGGAACTAAGATAGTAAAGAACTCAAAATTGCAAATGCTAGCCTCTAGGTTTGAAGAAGTAAGGATGAAAGATGATGAAACCTTTGATGAGTTTTATGCTAAACTAAATGATATAGTTAACTCTAGTTTCAACCTAGGTGAGAGAATTCCCGAGACTAAAATTGTGAGAAAAGTACTTAGATCCCTACCTGAGAGATTTAGGCCTAAAGTCACTGCCATTGAGGAAAGTAAGGACCTAGATGAAGTTAAGATCGAAGAATTGGTAGGATCATTGCAAACCTATGAACTCACTCTCTCACAACATAAGAAAGGAAAGTCCATAGCCCTAAAAGCCATTAAAGAAAATGAATCGTCTGATACGGAGTCACTTAGGGATGAGGAAATTGCATACTTTGTTAAGAAATTTCAAAAAGTCCTCAATAATAGGAGAAAGCCTCAGGATAGAAAGAGTGGAGCCCCTAGCAGATTCACAAAAGATAAAATTGAGAAAGTTAACAATAAAGGGTCAAGTGAGAAGCTACGTTTGGTTAGATGTCATGAGTGTCAAGGAATAGGTCACTATAGGAATGAATGTCCTAGCTATAAGAAAAATCAAAGAAAATGGAAAGGTAAGGCCTTAGTTGTCTCTCTTACTGATAATAAATCTGAGACCAGTGATAGGCAGGAATCCTCTAGTAGTGACGATGAAGGAAATTATATGGCATTTGTGGCTACTGTGAAGAGTGAATCTGATAAGGAGAGTGACAAGGTTGAGGAAGAACATTCAAACGATAATTCAGGTAATGAGGATGAGGATGAGGATGAGGATGACATAGACTTACAAGAAGCGTATCAACAGTTGTTTAAGGAGAGTCTTAAAATAAAGAAGGTCAATAAACCCTGCTTAAAAAGGTTGACGAACTTGAAAGGGAAAAAGAGAAACTGGGTAGTAAGTTTCAGGAGTCACTTAAGAGTGGTAGTGAGTTAAAATGTGTCAATGAGAAATTGGAAGACAAGGTTAAGAGTTTGACTAGTGAATTGGAGAAATCTAATGCTCATCTTCAGACATTCATAAGTGGAACTAAGAAATTAGATAACCTGTTGGGAATGAATAAGCCAGTAGGAGACAAGAGAGGTCTAGGATATGTTGAGGGTAATACAACTATCGCTGGACCATCTAAGACTGTCTTCGTGGCTGCCTCTAAGTCTAATGCTGTTAGGAGTCCAAGTAAGGGTAAGAGTGTTCCTAGGGAACAGAGTCAGCAATCACGTAGGAACATCAGGACTAGGTACCCACAGACACGTACCTTTGAGCCTAGGTTCATTCCCACCTGTCACCACTGTGGTGCTCTAGAACACACTAGGCCTAGATGTTACAAGTTAGGCAATGAGCGTAGAAGTCAAAACATTCCTAATCAGGTTAGCTTTCTGTCTAATCAGGTGAGTCACTTGACTGAGATGCTTACTAGGCTAACTAAGAGTACGTTGTCATCTAAAA